ATTATTTTTTTTTTTTTTTTTTTTTTTTTTTTTTTATAATCTCGCGTTATTTCAATTTTCTATACGGCTATACTCTTATCTTAATTTAATTACAAACGATTTAAATTTTTTAATATATCTGCACACTTTAATTTCGGTAGCGAAATAATATTGTGTACGTTTTTTTCCGGAAAATAAAAATCTATATTATAAAACCCGAATGAAATGTTTTCGCGCGAAACAATAAAAACGTTTGCTGATCAATATAAGAATACGTATCCACCTAGGTACCTATACATACTATGTACACCCACCTATAGCAAAGTGCATTTTCAGATTATATTATTCGTTTTATTTAAAACTTAAAATACGATAATTTGTCTGGATATTTTGTACCCAAACGTATTAAATTCTCACACTCAAATTTGCAGTGTCCGTACAAAAAAAAAAAAAAAAAAATATATTTATAAAATCGTGCATACAACAATACGCGCTCAATAATAATATTTTGTGTTATTATTTTTATATAATACATTTAATAAGACACGTTTTTAGTCGAAAACTGCGATCCAAATCGTTTTGCACGCATTTCGCATACCCCGGGTACCTATAGTTTACTAGTTGATAATGAACGACAAACAAAAACAACGTTAACAAAATTATTCGCACACCCTCCTCGATAATACGATTATAATTTTTTTTTTTTTTTGTTATTGTTTATTACCTATATTACATTTAAACAAATAGAAAAATATGATTGTTTATTATTTAAGTTTAACTTTACAATAATTTATATGCATTATATTATATGGGATATCAATGTATGGTATCTGTATAATATAATCATAAAATAATATTACGTATTATATTGTATTTAACGTCCAGATCCGCCAGCGTTGTTGGTTGTTATTTTGATATAATGGTTTAAAATATAATTATAACAATAATATTTTATAATAGAAAACTATATAATAATAATACCTAGTCGAATTAAACGATTATAAATCAATGTTTTATACCGGAGTTTTTTTTTCTATTTTTTTTTTTTTATTGTTGTTTATTAACCGACTTCAAAAAAAACGTTTTTGAGCTGCGGGACTTCGGTTACATGCGCAGGGGGAGACGACGCGTCAAATCCTCCCCATGTTGGTTTAAAAATACTTTAGAAACCTATTCGCTTGAAATTATATAGGTATTCCAGCCAGGCTGTAAAACATAAAGTCTATTGAAAAAAATTGGGTTTTTCGGATTCGGATTAAGAATTCTTGTTGTCAGTTTAGATGAATAATATTCTACGATCTGTTCACGAATCAAGTTTATTGTTTAAAAGAAAATATTCTTTGTTAAACAGACAATAACCGAACACTATAAAAATATAACAGTACAATCGTATGATGATGCTACAACTATACTTGTATTTGAGCATACAAATGGTAAGAGCGGGGTTTTGAAAGTCAAAACTTCCAAAAGGCGCATCGTCATATACTAAATGGCATGCATAAACAAAATGTCATCTGCCTAATAACTTCGTTTGGAGAAAGGGATGGCAATTTTTTTTTGCAAACATCGATGTGTCAAACCATCGATGTTGAGAACATTTAAATAGAAATCTATGTATTCGAAAACCCATCGATGATATTAGAGAACGTCGTCAATTTAAAATATAGACGAAATAATAGCCCTTTGCCACGGGTATATTAAAGAGACATTAAACAGTACCTATTGCCCAACACCGAAACCCCAAACATAAATTATACAGCCATTCAGCCTTCGGGAATCACAATTCGTTTATAAGAATACTCGTGAACATCGAAGGCGAATATCAACGTCGATACAAATATCGATTAAAACATCGGTAAAGTTTTAACACCGAAACTAAACCGTCGATGTTAAAAATCGATTATTTCAGTTTCAAACATCGGTGGTTTAAAAGTATCGATATTTTATTTCCATCCCTATTTGGAGATGGTCTGACCCGCAATATTGAACGTGCTGAAATTCATATTGAAATTCAACCCGACCTGTATCACTACAACCAACTTATAAAACAATTCGACTTATCCTCGATTGGGTGAATATGATATTAGACTTTCACACTTGTAGACATAATTATTATATTCTTTTAATGTACGTTCACGTGTTTACTCTTGACATTTATCGAGTAAGTAACCACAATTTCCCATAATGTTATTTAAAAGATCAGATATCCCTAAGAGGTGTAACCTTAGCAACTATAGACTTTTACGAGTAAACTCGCAGAATTGTCCAACAAAACAAAAAAAAAAAGAAACGAAAAATAAAAAAAGGAATCCAAAAAATAAAATAGCCAGAATTTGAAAATATTTGAAAATATTTAATCAGAGAGTAAAATTACAGACATTTAAAATGTCCAGAAAGTGTCTGTAATCACAGAAATAGTGATGTCAATCACAATTTCACTGTATCGATGCAATACGGACATAATAATATTATGTGTGTGTGTAGGCATAAAATATTATATTTTTTTTTTATGATATGATATCGATATCGCTTTCTGGACTTTTATTTTCTGTTATTATATTTTGTGGCCATTTTACTTTCTGTTGATACCCATTATCATCTGAAATACCACTAACTATTTATTTGTATGAATTAATATTAGGTATAGTAAAATGATATTATTCTGAATAATCAGAATGTGTAACGTCGCCAAGGAAAATGACTAGTAATTCTTTATATATTATACATATTATGAATGAACGGAACTATCAAATCCCGGGAACGTATCCCGGAAACGTTTTTTTTTTTTTTCTACCGTATATAAATTATAGTATGATAGTGGACAATGCGACGGTTACTGTCCAAAAAGAAATATAATTTTTGACTCCGTAATTGTGAATTTTTTTTTTTTATTTTTTGGACACGCAGTACCTACCTTACACGATACGAAATTTCCATCCGGCGGATACCTACTTTACTAGTACTTTGAAATATTTCAAGTCCATCCCCAAATTATATTTTTTTCTCAGTAAACACTTTAGCAAAAATGCTCCAAATTATCCGTGACGTATACCCACAGAGGCTTATCTTTTTCTCGACAGTACTTATTTGAAAACAATTTCTTTAGATTTCCAATAGTTTCGCAAACAAAATTAATGTCAATACATCGGGTTTTATTTTCGTTAGTTTTCGCGGGTTTTCTTTGCTATACAAAAGGAAAAAAATAATACAAAAACTCCGCTCATACTACTCCGCAGTCCGCACAAAATCGTTTTATGTTTGCAATGATTTATCGTTACTTTCTATGTACAAATCGAATTATCCTATTATCCTGTATGGCCTATCAAACATCTCACATATAGGTACAAATTACAGTGCACTGCACAGTATTCACTCCACAAAGTACAGTGGCGGCAGAGCCTAAAGTATACCTATAATGTATATACATATAATGTATAATTAATAATTATATACATGCCACGCCATCTCTTGGTCTACGCAACCGACAGTTCTTTCACGCACAGGACAGATAGCGAGCATAACCACTCACGAATTAATCACTAAAAGTAGGTACCAATATCTACGCTATATCAGCTATATGGATTACTGATGTAACGATGATATGTTAATACGTACGTAATATATTCTTATTTGTTATAAGTTTAAAACATTTAAATAAATAAGCTTAAATTTGTACGTACTAATCTAATAAAATTAAAGGCTAGTATCATCAATGTACGTCATATTATCAAGGCCTAAAATAAATGAAACTTTGTATTGCACTATTTTATAAATGCATATCACTTTCAAAATACGTATAAGTAAGTTATGGATTTGAAAACAATATAATCAATAAAATAAAGCATTTAAAATGTAAACAAAGCAAAAACAATGCATTTAATTTATATAAAAAATAAATTGCAAAATTTACTAAAAATTAAATAGATTTCAATGAATTTAACTAGTTTTGTATTACAAAAAAATTCACTACCATGTACTTAGATAAATTGTTTTCAGTAAAACGTCGACGGTTTGATTCAAAATATTTGTGTACGTAGACAATGTACGCGAAAATGTCTTTCTGCGTCCATTGCAGTCGTACCTATACAGCAGTATAGTCGCGGTAGAGTGTGAGCGAACAATGCGTCGGGTACGAGTGTATGGTGTTGTACAAAGAACATCATTCCAGGGAGGAGCGGTCATCTGCAGCCATGGGATATTTCAGGTCACACACAAGGACTTCACTGTCCTCAACTAAACATCCTCAAGGTGTAAGATTGTATTACAGTAATATGCCATACTAATAATTATACTATTAAAAAGTGATCAAAAATAGTCAGGGAAAGTGGAAAACATTGTAAGGCACGTCATGATGTTACAACTGAATTATCTAAATTATAAAATAAGAACTCAGTCCATTTCACCTTAAAAAATTTAAAAAGCCGGGGTAATTTATAATTATTCTGTCCATCCTTTAGGGGCTGAATTTCAAGATAAAGGCTAAAAAGTATCATATGTTTTATTCCAGAACACATTCTACCCGTGTGTCATAATTTCATTCAAATTCGTTTTAGCGTGATTATGTTACAAATATCCAAACTTTAAAATGTATAATACTACTAGCTGTACCGCTCGATATTACCTGTGCCTATAGTAATGTAAAATTGCCGCAATAATCTTTTCAGAGAATATTCCCCAAATTGGAAAATTTTCTTTTCTACTCGTTTCTTAAATATAGCAGCATATTACATTTTCTCCTGGAGTTACGGGTTCAGCTACTACCTCCATACCTATAACGCAAAGTCACACTCCAACATTCATAAACACTTTTACGAACACGACATGTTGTCAAACGCTAATATGCTCATGTCACCAATCCTGTCTGTCAATCTGTCCAAGGCATTACAGTTACAAGGCATTAAGATTAATACAGTAGACAGTAGACATGGATGTGAAGATGAAACGTGTCATGTACTTACATATCAAGGACTTTGGTCCACTCAGTGGCCATCGGCCATCCCGTGCGCCGTAAACATGTTTTTTTTTATTTTTTTATTTTTTTAATGAAATATTTATAGGTATTTAGATTCTAGATCGCAAATAACTTACAATATAACGAGTAAAATAACTTTTCAACGTGATAATAACACATCAATAACCGTGCCGAAAGAAGTACAATTCAACAATAAACTAAGTAACCATTCGTTATGGTAGGTAACCTATATATTATAGGTATTCTCGTGACAACTATTACAGTCCTTATGTATAGACTAATAAGTGACGTATGAATTATTTTTTTGGTTTAACGTTTTAGATTCTGAGTATAGCTAAGAATGTATTGGCATTACTAACATGTTTTTTTTTTTTTTTTTTTATATATACTGTGTACACAAATTATACCACAAATCTTGCTCAGATATATATGCGCGACACTATTTCTGAAAGTGAATGTTATCCAGATGATGCATTTAGGAGGTCATTTTTTGATTTTCCAAACAGTTTTCATAATATCTGGGAAAAACCACGATAAAATGTAAGAAAAACGGGAAATTTACGAAAATAATGCATTTATTATTTTTCAATTTTTTTATTTGTTGTAATTCAATTAAAAATATTCGTAGAAACTTGAAATTTGGACAGAAAATTTTTTTTATGTCTTTTCTAGACGTGGTAAAATTTTCAAAAAAATGTAAACCATTTTTGACCTATTTATAGACATTTAAATTTTGAGAGTTTTGTACATAATTTTTATTCGATTGGTACTCGATTAGGTGGTAAAATTGTTAGACTTCATAGAAAAGCTTGAAAATTTAACAGGAGGTTCATTAAAAGTTTTAGTTAATTGTAAAAAAAAAAAAATTGAGTTTAATGTAGTATTTTTTTTTTATAAAGGAACTTGAATATCAAATTTTGATGAAAATTGTTAAGTAAAAAATTATGTGGAACAAACCTAATTTTCCAATTTTGTTTTTTTTTTTGAACATATGTATATTGACGATTTATTTAACGATGATGAAGTCAGCGAATTGAGCGAATTGACTAAATTTAAAAATTATAGCTTTTTGAAATTCTGGTGTTATGCGGATATGATATGTTATGTTAAATATTGTACCCCCTCAAGCATATTTGTCGTAATCTAATGGTTATTGATGCCTATTATCATTCTTAGAGACCCAAGCCATCGCTCGCTCGGAATTTTTATCGCAAAATACCCTTCGATTTGTTGTGCGAACTTTTCTACCTAAAATCTTCCTCCAATGCTTCAAAGCATCACTATCAACTGAATTGTGCCCAGAGTCGTTTTTTCGTTAGCAATGGTTTATCATTGCTTTCAGATATACATTAAAGTACCTATAACAGTTGCTTCACTCAACCCCATTATCCTAGGACGTCTTTTTTTTTTTTATTTCATCCATAACACCAAAGCAATCCATAAATTAATAAAAAAAAAATTCAATTTCCGTATCAAAAATACCCATAACACCTCTTTAGAGGTTGAATTCGGGGTAAAAAGTAACTTATGTGATATTCCTGATCAAGAGTTACATTTACGCAAAATTTCAGCTTAATCCGATCAGTAGCTTTAGCGTGTTGAGATGATAAACATTCATCCAACCAAACTTTTGCATTTATTTAGGTTTCCATGCGTAAGCAAAATACTATACTAGGTTACCGAATTCTTTCGAAATTGTTTAATATGGCATTGTAATACACATATCGTTAAGAATTCGTTTAGAAACCGCTTAGGGAACTCAGCACGCTCGTAGAGCGGAATTCTCCGACTTGTTTATTAATAAAAAAAAATTATTAAAAATAATAAATTCTGCCCTATGAGGTACCTAGGTGTTGGATACTATCGAGGACCGCGGTATCCGGTAACCCGGTTCACCGTTGCCCGGTAACCGCGGGCATGTAAAATATAAATCCGGTCCGCGATAATTACACGTCCTCGCGTAATACATTGATAATAATTATTATTGCGATTTGTTTTATACAATAATATAATAATTGCATAGCACTGTATCGTCGTTGGCCATCACTCGCAGTGCGACGCGACATTGCCGGCGAACGCGCCCGCGATGAGGCGTTGCAACTGCTGGCACGCGTATTCGTTTCTACTACTCGCAGCTGTGACGTGCAAGCAGACGGCCACCGTTGACACCCAGATTGCTTCACAGGAATCATCTTGCGATTCTCACGAAGGGTCTCAGAATTCCTACGAAGGGTCTCGCAGTTCCAATGAAGGGTCGCGTAATTCCGAAGAAAGGTCTCGCGGTTCCGACCACGCGGCCGTCGTCACTGCCGCCGAAATAACGGCCATCCCTGCAGCCGCGGCCGCTGCTGCCACAGCCGCCGACACCACGATGGACGCGATAGCCAGATCGGCCACCAGGTCATTCGACAGACCTCACGAAGATCATAACAATAACAACAACAACAAGCCTTCGGCCGGCCGTCTCAACGACCAGATAGTTCGGCAGACCAACGATCTCAACAAGGCGGTCGCCGTGCTGGCCAGCGCTCAGAAACGCGAACACAAGATGGCCTTGCTGGAGCGAGAGAAATGCGAGTGAGACTATTAACTATTAATTAATATCAGTGACGTCCATTCAATTTTTTTTCTCGGGGATGGGGGGACTCAAATGATTCCCCTATGGAAATAATTAACAGCAACAATAATCTAAGCGCACGAAAAAGAGCGGAGGAAGGAAATAGTTTTGGAAGCTAATAATGTAAAAATGTTAGAGTTTGATGGTATTCGTTTATTTTTACAACAATTTGTCTAAATATTTTTAATTGGAAGTAAGAAAGCAAGTCATCGGACGAGTAAGAATTGAATACAGTCTTCTACGCTTCTTCTTCTCTTTTGCCTTCCCTCGAACTATTTGGGATCGGCCACCCTTGTCCTAAACTTCAGCCTGACCCAATACTCCATATCACCTGTTGCGTGCCCTTTGTATGTGAGTAATTTGTATAAAGTTTCGATTTCTAAAACGTGGTTTTTATTAATTTTCCGCTCAAACTCATAGGTAAAAAATTGACAATAGAATAATTTAAAAAGAAATTCATCAGAAGCAGACCCGGGTCAAGACTTAGGTTTCATTACCAGTTACAATAAAAATTAAGAAAGGAATTTTGGTGACGGGGCTTTTCGCTCGCGTGCGTTGGTGGTGTCTCGTAGATACACTCAGTTTTCCAGAACTGACTGAAATCTCTTTCCGTCTGCCCTGGTCGTCTTATATATTATCTGCGGCCTTGGTCGGGATCCAAGTGGTGGCTACCGTCGTTGTCTCCTTGTGGCGCGTTGTCCGGACGCTTTCGATTTAGCACACTAGTATACGCCCTCACGTGCGTATACTTAATGCGACGACCGATTTCACATCACTTGTGTTTAAATGTTAATTTATATTCCATCCAACTACCTCTTGTTCGTTATTCCTCTCTCCCTCATTCCGTCTATGTTTATTTTCATAACAATTTAAAATGAAGCACCTTTTCTAAAAGGACATTTTCGTAGAGTATTATAGTAGGTGGTCGTTTTTAGATTTTATCGAGGGGTTTTCATAGCAAATTAGAAAATCCGAGAAAAACGGGAAAATGTATTATTTTAAAAAATTGTAAATATTACGGCTTCTCAAAAAAATGTATAACCGAATTCCGCCCAGAACCGGTTTTGCTCAGCAATGATTAATCGTTGCGTACATTAAAATCTCCCGCCTACATTCCCAACGTTTGACCTACAACAGCGGCCAACCCATCGTGTGAAGTATTTCTGTCTGGTTTTTAAATCTGATTTTGTTAGTGTGAAAAATAGTTTAGCATCTGGTTTAATTGTTTCTTCATGTCCTGCCAACAACGCAATAGTTTAATGTTATATAGGTATATAGTTTGCGTGAGAGCGTGAAAAACGTCAATAACGCCAAGTCGCCAAATTGTGACTAACGAGATATTTACAGTAAAAAATAAAAAAACCATCCATTTTTCGTGCAGGATATAATAATATTAAGTCGATTATTTCAATGCGCGTTTAAGGGTTAGTCGTGATTTTTCAGCATTTCCCGCGTCATCTCGTATAATACCGCGGGCGGCGACTTAAACCGTTGTGCGATGCACCTTCCTGCGAATTCGCCGTGCAAGTGTGAGTGTAGTTGACTCGCAATAACCCATATTACTTATTGTTTCCCGGATGTTCCCGTTCACGGTTAATCGCGGTGACGTTTTCAAAACGCCGATCTTGCGGTTTTCGTTAAAGCCGCTACATTGTAAAGGTCCGGAACAACGCTGATTCGACGCCTTTTTTTTTTTTTTTTTTTTTCTATTTATGTCCTTCGCGCGCCCGCCATTCATAATAACGTCATTGCGATTATTGTGTTACACGCAGCGGGTACGTGAACCAGGCGGCGGACAAGATGCACAAGCTGGGGGACAATTTACAACACGCGGACGCCGCACTGGCAATCGCCACGAACCGGGAACGACGCGTCCAAAAGCACGCGACCCGCACCGCGCGGATGTTGATCCGGTCGGGCCGCCGGTTGCAGGTGATCCGCCGGCTGTTGGCCGGCGCCGAAGTGGGCCTGGTGCACATGGAGACCAACCGGAAGTTGCATATCGCACGCAACTAGGAAAACGACGCGGCGGCCGACCCGGCGCGGACGCTTGTACTGCTGAGAGGAGAAGCACGGCGTCCCGAGACGTTTTCGTCGTCCCCCACAATCATCGTACAGCCGTCGTACACCCCGTACCCCCCCACCCCCACCGCCCCTAAGGCCGTTAGATTCGATTTTTTCTTTTCTTCTTAAAATTAACGTGTTGTTTTTTGTTTTCGAATTTTTAACATACGGATCGATCAACCATCCCCGGGGGAACGACGAAGGAGGAATGTTAAGGGGGCCCCTCCCTCGTTCGCCGTTTTCACGGCTCGTGTTGCGCACGTAATGTTATTACACGGAAACAAACGCGAAAACGCCGGCTTATACATATGCAACCCGAATACGCTGTCATCGCTGTCGTCTATAAATAATTACATGCGTATGAAAAACGAAACGTCCTACGCGATTTGTTACAATATTAAACCCGTAACGAAAATGTTAATAATTGTATTATTTTTTTTATTTTTTAATTTTTTTTTATTTCTATGCTTGCTAAACGATAGACGTTATGTCGATAATAGATCGGTTCCGACAATTTTATTTTATATTACTATAATGTATTAATAATAATTACACATGATATTGTAATATAATAAACATTAATAATTATGTTCATATATTATTCCCCTCCAGCATAGTTTAATCATTATTTGCATCTAAAAAACTAGAAATCGTTAACTATCAACATGTGACCGGATTAAGAGACGAGACAAGGGGTCACTTCACCTGGACCGCGGAAATAAATAAAGGCCCGTTTTGTACGGCGCGTGTTGTATCGTTAATTTAACCATGTATGTATAATGTATACAATTCCCGTCTGAAAATTGTGCTTGGTACAAAAATTACATTAAAAAAAAACCGATGCTGGGAACGGGTGTGGCCAACATTAAAGGTTGGTAGTTGGGAAGATGGGATACATAAAGTTGTTTAATTTATACCTGTAATCAACGATAAACCATTGCTAATGGTAAACGAATCGGAGCGAAGTTCGGTCATAAGTATATATGTTTTGAAAGGTCGTGTTATTTACATTTTCGTCAAAATTTGATTATAAAATTCTTATAAAAAAAATAATAATACTACATTAGACTCAATTTGTTTTTTTTTTCACCACTAAGTACGACTTACAATGTACCTCATGTCAAATCTTCAAGCATTTCGTTTTAGTCTAATAATTTTATTTACTGAGTCTAAATATATACCAAATAAAAATTACGGAAAAATATGAAAAATTAAAATATTTTTATGAATAGCTCAAAAATGGTTCAAATGTTTTTTGAACATTTTACGACGTCTAGAAAAAGCAATGGGCTATTTTTCCTTGTATGATAATATATATAGATAAAAATGTAACAGGAAATCAACTTGCGATTGGAGCGAGTAATTTTTTTTTCCGTTAATGTTCTGAAAAAAAATCCAACCCCCCCCCCCCCCGTCTGGAAAACTGAAATTATGCTATTAATGCAGAGGAAAGGGTCGAGATACCTATCATATATGTAGTAGGTCTATAAGATATGGTCTGTTATAAAGTGTACATAATACTAAAAAGTATATTATATTTTAACCTCTGAGGGATAGGTTTGGTATATCTACTCGTGTAGTTCTTTTTTTAGTGACGAAGCCATGGGTTAGTACTGAGTAGACACGCCGTGAATACTCATTAAAAAAATTCCCTAGTGGTAGTCTCATAAATTCGAAATATAATTTAAATCGAAATATTTCGAGTTTAGATTCTTTTTTCGTATCAAACATATTAGATATATCATTTTATGATATTACTTTATTCTTATATAGCAAAATATACGCAAACACTAGTTTAAGGGTCAATATCTACAACGCAGTCGATCTTTCTTTTTAAGGTATGGAGTAGTGGACACGCAATAGATATATGCTAAAAAATGCCCTATATTGGTATATAGATTGTATATAAATATAAATTTGAAACATAATTTTAAATTTATATTCCTTTATCGTATCAAATATATTCAATACCGCTTTACAACATTATTTAATTTATTCATCACAAAGATCCGGGATTACTTTTTCATAAGTCAACATCTGAAACGCAGTTGACAATTTATTTTGCGGTGGAGATTATTTATTTTTTCTTTCATATATACTAACGTGTATTACACAGATCTCTTTTCAGGGTAGTTATGTCCCAGGGGACTTGTCGTTCGTAACATATTACATTTATTTTTTCCCTATTTTTTTTTAGAAACAACGTATATTATTATCAAAATAATATATTTTTTTTTCTTTGCAACTCAAAAAAATCGAGATTTCTCCAAATAACCCAGATTTTCTTTCTCGTGATCCTTCATTCAAACTTTTTATACATATATATGTGTGTGTGTATACGTGAGTCTCTCTGTTTCTGTCGCTCTGAGGGCAAAAAAACAGGCGCTGTTATTTATGATGTAATGCCCGCAGCCTCGGGAAATTGCGAATCAAGTCCCAGCCGTTACACTGCAGAGTTTTTAATCGCTTTAATACGAAACTTTTAAGTAGAGCATTTTCATTGCATTTATACAATAGTATTCTTGTTCCTATATAATACGTTCATATTATATTAAATCACATTATAATACAAATTTGTAAAACCGATAAATCGGCTTTAAAATTATTAAAAAGATTAAATAATGTATGATAATATATAATACATTTTAAAGGGATTGATGATTGAGGGACTTTTTATTAATCTATAGTGTTTGATACCCATGTAAGGGGATAATTTGTTTTATAGATCCTTTACTAGGACACATAAGAATGTACATTTTTGAAAGTTTTTCTAAAATACAATTAAGTTATTTTAGGATTTCCATTAAAATTATTAGATTTGAATTTTCAACATAATAGCCATGTAAAGAACTTATTCTTACAGTTTGTTCAATCATTCAGGTATAAATCGATTAAATTATATACACCGTTGCCAATTTCCTTAAAGAAAAAAATGTGTTTTGTCAACTAAAATAAATGAATCATTTATGCGAATACATTGTACATATATACAAATAATAATAATAGCTGTATTACCCAACTTCATGAAGACTTAGTTTGAGTGAAATTTTACCCCAATTTCTGTCCTATTTTCGCCAATATGTATGGATTTTAAATGTACCATAAAACATAATGACAGGAATCATATTTGTGGATTTGCGGCCCGAAACTAGCTCTGCACCAGCCAATAGCCGGCAAGATAGGCTCGCTGATGATAAGAAAAGTAAATGCCTCCCCTGTCCCTCCCAATTTGTTTAAATGTTTATTACTTCCAAAATTGCATCATTAAGAAGTTAGACTTCAGCCCCTCAATCTCAAACCCTAATTTGAGTCTATGCTATGAGTATATAAAGTTATAATTGGTTGACACTTTCTTTCGCTAGCCATAGTAATATTGTATTATATTGTGTAAATTGATTATTAATAAATATATGTGTATTATTGAAATTTGAATAAATATGCTTAGCGATGAAAGGAGTTTAATTTTTTTGAATGAAGTTTAATGTTAGTTCTTCATAATCTCATTGTGTATTGAGTATATTGGAGAAGATTTCTTTTATAATCGATTTTAGATCCAATTTTAATAGAATTTCTAACAATTCTGGTATTTAAAATCATGTATAACCGGACATTGTTTAGAATAGGTTTTCATTAACAATGGTTTATTATAGCTAACAAATATAAATTAGCAAACCCATTTCTATTATCAGCTCTATTTTTATTTTTACTATGGCAATTTTTTTACTGACACAAATAAAGGTACTTCTAGTAGTTCGATATTTAAAATTTCAAGATGTTTGAATTGATAAAGAAGTTTTTTCATATGTCGAAGCATATTTTTAATATTTTTATGTATATTTAATATTAAAAATTGATAAATTTATAAAATATATAATATTTATTATCGTCAAAAATTATCAAAAACTGAATTTTAGTTCATGAATTATTAATGTAAATAGAGACAAAAACTAGTTTTGTATGTAATTTTCAATACTGTTTTCATTTTTTGTTTCTAGCATGTTTTATTTTTTAATTTAACAATTTTATAAATTATTTAGGTTAGCAATTTAATAGTTAATGAGCAATAATCATCTTGTATACATTTTAATATTAAAAACATAACTAAATGTACGACCAGCTTTAAAGTACTTTATGAGATATATTATATCTCATTCAAATTTAGTAGGCTTCACAAATCTTTTGATGATAGTTCATCAAAACGGTTTTATTTTCTTAGTCAGTCGTTAATAATACAGCCTATTAATCGATTGCTAATTTTATGAGCATATTGCTATAGTATATAGTATAGTAGTATAAGCCCTTTGTATTAGAGCATAAGAGTATATTATTGTAGTCTATCGATAACGCCTAGTGTGTAGGCGGCTCCTAGAATATTGTAGCCATACGGCACCCATGAGAGAGCCGCGCAGTCAGTCGAGCTACCACTTTTAAAACTGTACGTTGTCACAACGACTATTATAATAAATTACTCTTTAATTATATAGTTCGACTCACATTAAATTATATTAGTAACTAAAAATCCTTAGAACTGTTTCATTGTACTTTCTCGTAAAATTGGATCCTCACACTACCGAACAAATAAAACAACCCGTACGAGCACAACAACTCGTATAGGCACAACAGCTAATCTAAAACTCATAATATGTGAAATATGATAAAATATTTTTTTGATTTATTCATCGCAAATATAATATTTAATTATTGCATTATAAAATATCAAAAATTTGTATTATTGTTTTTCTATTGTACTTAGCGATTCATTGTGAAATCAATTGAATATGTATGTTATTTTACATGCCAATAACTACATCCATGGATATTAATCATCATTATTATGTTTCCATGGTATTATATTATAGTTCCCTGTAGTTAAGCAATATATTATCTGTTGGAATCCATATATTTGTGTACATGTTTTAATTATATGAATAATGAATTATACAATTCACTGAGTAATAAATACTTAAAATACATAAAAATATACAACATTAATTGAAATAATTACATGTTATTAATTATTTCATAAGGTGGCATATTATTATAATTATATCTCTATCCTCATAGTATGGAAAAGAATCAAAAAATACTTCCATTCGAGATAAATTTGGTGCGTTTTGAGAACCCTGAAACACTGGTCGAAAAATCTAATAAAACGCTGACTAAAAAAGTAATGAATTATATAACATAATATACCATTATTTTTATTGACTATAATTTTAATTTTTTAAAAAATTATTTTTCATTGTAATATTTTATCATAAAATTATAATTATGCATTTTGTCATTTATTATTTCAATTATGGGACTACATACCTTCAAATTTAATTTCGAAAAAACACACTCAAAACTACAGCTAAGTATTATTTATTGACATGAAATTGGAATATATTGAATAGTATTGTAATAAATAACAAATTTTGGGTTTTTTTATTTTTTTATAAAGATTTACAGATATTAAAAATATCTGATACCTACTGCAAATGGGTGTGCGACTGTTACTGATGAGTAATTGGGAATGTAAGATAAAATATATTATTAAAATTATTATAAAATCATTATTTATTTCGTGTGGATTACACAAATCAACTTAAATAAAAATACATGACACGCAGTATAATATATACATAAATTATTAAACTTAGATAGGAATATACTTGTTCAAATAATTTCTTCATAGCTGTATTTCGAGTTTACTAATCCAATATATTGCTTCTGGAGTCACTTTATGTAGGCCTTCAAAACCTTGGCTAAATTTTCTTCTTTAGCATTCTGTTACGATATGGTTTATTGTTTGTTTCTTTTTGTTATAGCCACGGGTTGGATTGTCTCGAAATCCCCATTTATGTAAGAAAGTGCCGCACCTACCATGACCTGTTCGTAGTCTGTTTAGTGTAGACCAGGTGCTACGGGGAAGATTCATCCCTAGGATTCCAATGTTAGGGTCGTGCACTAATTTCCCGTTTGATACAGTAGCGCTAGCCCATTCTTTCCGCTATTCATAAGCACCACCAAATCCTGAACTGTTCCTGAACAGTTTCCTGGCGATCTCGACTATTGAATTCCTGGATTTTCATCGCTGTTCAGATGTTTGAAGTAGCATCTGGTATAAGAGTGATCGTTTTTGATCTTCAGAATATTTGCCAGTATCGGTAACCAATGGAGTGGTGTGGATTTAACAGTTCCACTAATTATTATTATTATATTGTTAAGCTGCATGTATACTTTATTTGCGTGTAAGCTATTACCCCAAGTTCGGACGTATACTCCACGCGCTATAGACTAGGCCCAAGCTTGCTATTCTCAAACTATTCGCATCGGTACTCCAACCTGTTCTAACTAGCATTTATACGAAGTTAATCCGGGATCGAATCTTTTTACCTAAGCTACTCAAATGCTCATTTAATGTGGATGAGCGGTCAAGCGTTATACCTAAGTATTTAGGTATTTAAGGAATTATGCTTAACTCTTATTTCATCAAAATCTACTTCTAGCTTATCTTTTGCCAATCTGTTGTTGAGGTTTTGTGCACACACTTCAGTTTTCGTCAAATTTGGCTTTAGGCACCAATTGCGGAAATAGGTATTCATTAACTCTATGTCATTGGTTAAGATTAGATTGCCATCCTATAGATCTTTACTTTGGTATGCGGTTGCTATATCGTCCACGAATTGCAACTTTAGCCGTTCTATATTCGGAATGTTGGGGTTAGAACTGATCCCTGAGGGAGTCCATTGTTCACTCTCCTCCTTCCCACGACTCATTTATAATTAAATACGATTACGATTGAAATTCGGTTAAATATATTTTGGAATATTTTTAACAGTTTCATCAAAATTTGATCATATAAAAATGGACATACTTCGCATAATGGGTAGGCTACTATTGTAGATGAGAAGTTGGGAAGATAAGATGTATAGGGGAATTTAATGTATATCTGTATGCAACGATAAAACATTGGTAACGAAAAACGATTCTGAGCAGAGTTTGGTTATAAATGTTTTAAAAGGCCGTAATACTTACGATTTTTGTCAACATTTGATATAAAAATTTTACATTACACTCCAATATAATTTGTTGAGCTCAAAGTACGACTTATAATTTACCATCAGTTAATTTTTCAAGTATTTCTATTCGGTTGAACAATTTTATACACAGAGTACTCACTGAATAAAAATTTATGTAAAAAACCAGCAAATTTAAAATGTCTATAAATAGCTCAATGAAAATGAAAATTTTATCACGTCTAGAAAAAGCAAACGTAAGTATTCTAATCAAATTTCAAGTCTCTACAAATATTGTTAACTGAATCAAAATAAAAAAAACCTTTCCTAGGATAATGGGGATGGGTGCAGCCACTTTTATAGTTAATTCAATGTATACCTGAGCGGAATTCGATTGATAGTATTGCTTTTTCAACAATATATATATATCATACTATGCTAAAATAATTACATATGCATTATGTATTTTCTTTAATAATATTTATTTTAAAATTGTAAATTTTTCCCATTTATTGGGAAAACTCTTAGAAAAATCAAAAAATGACCTCCCTAAAGTATCACACCAGTCAGATTTCCTTTCGGAAAAATGTCTACACTTGTAAATCAGAGCAATATCCCTGGTAGAAAAGATATTCACAGAAAAAAAAATGTAATAATTAACATCATTGTAAAACCAATACATTCCTCGTTCCGCTCAGAATCTAAAAATTAAAATACCTCTGGACGTTATTGAGTACTTTATACCTATATCAATTAAAATTTGTAAGAATATTGTAAATGTATAAATCAACATGATCAAACAAATTAATTGTATTATATTATTTATATCATGTCTATTGTAATACTATTATTTATTATTAGGTATTATGTTAGAAAGTGTTAAATTTTTGTACCTACACCTTTCAAACATGATTACAATTTTAGAATGGGACATTTTTGTAATACTAATAATAAACTTTATACATACCTATAGAATATATTGTCTTCAAAAACCAAAGTTAATTTATTCGGATCTGAAGATGGTGCAGAACTCACTTGTGGCGATGTTTTGAATCTTATAGTAGAACCAAGGCAATGGAGGAAGGATGATGTCGATTGGAAGCAAGATATATCTAAACAACCTGGAACTACATCAGATGTGAAAAAACTTAGTGAAAAATTAGATACATACTTGTTACAATTTGAGGCCAAAGAGGTGGGAATTTGCCCAATAAAACAGGAATTATACAGTCAATGTTTCAGTAAGTTTGAAATTATAATTTAAAAAAGTATATTATTTAAAAAGATTATAATAGATATGTAGGTAATTATTATATTATAAGCATAACGAAATTTAATATTGTAAAGAATAATATCCAGAAATTCTCAATACATCTACATAATATTGATATAATAGTGACTGTGATTATCAGTAGCGTAATAACCGGGTTAGGGGGAATATGGGTATGTAATCTTTCCTTGATTTCTTTTGTCGTGGTAGTTCTATACTAAAATAAAATGTAATTAGTTCCTTAATTTATTTGACGCAAAATAAAATATTATTACTTTTTAGTATCTTATTCACAATAATTCTGCGTCATATTATGGTCAAAGACATCAACATTTAAAATCACATATATGAAGTAGCAACAAAGCAGTAGCTGGAGATAATTTTTTTTTTTGAGATGGGGAGTTAAACCAAATCCTATATTTTAATAGTTTTAAAATAATGAACAGTTATCAAACAATATTTAAAAAAAAAAAATGACTTTATTCATAAATTTTGATATTTTGTAGAATACAGACACTATGTGTCTTTCTTTTTCGAATTAATCTATGATATTATCTGAATAATGTGTAATAATAAGAGGGGAAAAATAATAAATGCTATGGCTATACTTTTAATAAAGTCGCTGGATATAATAGTTTTAACTAATAATTACAATTATTATTGTAATGCTTTTGATAACGTTTCAATATCACTTATTAAGTTCCTTTAACGTATTAACAATTTTCTTTTAAATATCTGTAAATTGTAAAAGTTCGTCATGATTTTCCACCAACGTGTCTCACATATTGATGAGAGTTTGGTCCATTTAGATTCAGGAAACGGTTCTTTAATGAAGTATAATCAGTTATTCGGAAAGTATAACCAGCTGCGCTTTATGTACACTGCAGTGATCATTCTTTAAATTTAGCTCTCTCTCATTTGTGTAATATTTAACATATTCTTAATTGTGTTGGTACCATAAAATCGATGGGCAATTACATTAAAAACTTTCTAATGTGAACAGAAGTGTTAAAAAAAGTTATATTAAAATTTCCGCATCTTAATAATACCGTACCATTTCGGAAAAAACCAACAATATGAGTAATATAATCTTATGGATATAAGTTATCGTAGTTCTCAATCGCTGTAGGACCTACTGCACCAACAGAATTCGTTATCGCACGATTTATAAACATTATATTTTCATACATTTTAGATTTTAGCTCAAAATAAAATACATAGTAAAAAAGTAATCAAGTATTATACTTAGGAGACCACTTATTTAAAATTATTTTTTTTCATACCAGTATTTTAATGACATAATATTGATTTAAGGGGCGAGGCAAAATTTAGGTCATGTGAAAGGAAGGCATGACTAACCCTGATTTCAGCACTGCTCTGGACTGTTTAAACATAGATTTTAGCAAGTTTCTTATGATTTTTTTTCAAGTCGTATTGAATTAACAACAAAAATCAAAATCGACTAAATTACAGTAGCTACCTCTTTAAAACCATAAAAATAAATAATATATAATATAAATATATTGTTCAAAAAGTTACTGATAAAATACTTATACATATAATACACCTGAAACTGCAGATACGGTTATTCGTCTCGTGTTTATTTATTAGACGAGATCATTAGACAAGTGACGTTGAATTGTGCCGAACGGGGTTACATGTTGGTTATGATACGGGACGAAATTAAAATGAATATAGACGCATATGAAGCGCTGTACGAAAGTAGAATAGCTTACGGTATTCGAAAGACATTACTGGCAAGTATCTAAAAAATTTGAAAAATAACATAGCGTTTGCGTATTTATTATTTTTACGAAAATGTATGTTTTTATTATTTATAAGACATTATTTAAATTTTTATCAATTTACCTATCCTAACCTAGGCATAATAACCAGTAGATACGTAACCTATGACAAAGGAATAATTTTTTCCCCGAAACTTTGTTGAATCATAATTCATGGAAGTTCAAAGACATATCTTAATTTCCAAATTGTCCTTGTGTACATAAATTTAAAAAAAAAACTTTTTCTGTGTATCTACAGCAAAGACAAAAGAAGACTGATTTAAAAAATTTGGCCGAAATATTGAAATTAGAAAATCAAATTTTAGCAGCTGATTTAATAAATACTACAAATATAACAGTCTTAATAGAACAAGGGCTGGCCGAAAAGAACGAGAAAGAACTCCAAATGCACATCAATAGGTTGGAAGTTTTAAAGAAATCCAATGGGCTTATCAAAGTAATAATAACATACATACACATTATAAAATAATATTTGTACAAATTTTATTGTTATCCTGCGTACTATTGAATTTTAGTCTCAAATGACCAGTATACCTATAATGTAGTAATGTATATTAGGATGGTTCTCATTTGGGTGATGACAAAATGTTTGTTTTGACGGCCCTTACTTTATTCTAAAAAAAAAATTTAAAAACTGATCTTATTTGAGCTTTCCAGGACAATAAAATTCTTGATTCGCCTTGTAACGAGGTAAAGTTTCCTATTAAAATGCATGTGATTTTCGTTTATTTTGAATTTCGTTTATAAAATGTTGAAAACAAACATTTTTCGTATGGGAATGACTGAGATTAAGGTACGCTTTAAGTGAGGGAGAAAATTAAAGTATAGCGGGCAAAATACCAACATATTATAATGTTTTGATACGTAATATAATTGTGGAAAAATATACTAATAGTCTGTAACCGCCGAGTGATACAATATAATATTAAATTAAAATGAAATACGAAGGAATGCACCGAATATTGAACAATATTTTTCGTTTTATCGTGAGTGGTGAGTGTTCCTAAAATATTACTTGTATATGGACATGTAATATGGTATGTTGTATGTAATATTTTACAGATAAGTGGATATAGCCCATGCATTTACATATATTTTTTGATTGAAATACTTATTATTTGATACAAGCTAAAAATCATCGATTTTCCAAATATATTGACATTTTAAAAAACCTAATAATCTTCAGTAAGAAAATGTTATAAAATGACCGATGTACTTTAACTCCCCCCTACCACCATTAAAACGAACCTTAACCATTTCAATACAAAAAATTCTGTTTCTTCAACTATGTATGTCTTATATAAACACAATTCAGATTAAAAGAAGAAAGCCGGACATACTTCTCATGATAGCTGGGCCACACTCTACTGTTTAGGTAAGAAGTTGGGAAGTTAAGATATACTGGAAAATTTAGTTTATATCTACAAACAATGATAAACCATCGTTAAATAAAAACGATTCGGAGCTAAGTTTCTTAAATACACGAACGTCAATGTTATAGACAGGGGGGGAGGGTACTGGGGGCACGCCTAAAATCTATTTTTTTTTTATTAATGCTGTAGTACAGTTTACATAAATTCGTTATATTAATGAAATGTATTATTAGTAGTACTATTATAAGTATAAAATATATTGTTTTATATTATTATATGTATAATACATGAATCACTAATTGCAGAAAGGGGACATGTACAATTTTAACGATATTGAGTTGTTGTCGAATTTAAATTTATTATATTTACCTTGAATAATACATATTTTATGTTAAAATAGGACTGGTCCACCAAACTGTTGTAGGATATTAACAACTAAAGTTAATGTTTAGTGCAGACTAAATAGTGTGACTAAATATCTTAATACATCACTGTCACAACGTGGTTTTTGTATAGTCACTCATAAGTTTTTGTTCTATTTCTGAGTTTGTGTTGTAAAAAATATTATTCAATTTTTAATATTAAAATATTTGTGAATTATAAAATAAAAAATAAAATATATTGCCAGTCAAATTACCCAAAAAGCAATTGTACAATGTAGAACCCAAAAGATTCAAAAAGAAATTAATTTAAAAATAAATGATTTGAAACGTATGTAGTCCTACATTCCAATGAATTCTGTTTCCAGATTTCGAACTTAAATTCTGAGTTAAAAAAGAAAAAAAATGTTTTCACTGCAATGAAGTATATGTTTTTATTGCCATCTTTGCGTTATAAATGCATTTAAAATGGTTAAATACAGAAAAGAGACATGCCCAAAAATATAAAATGGCTACCAATGTTCATGTTAAATTTTGGAAAATATTGAAGTGAATAGTTTATACAAATGTGGATAATAATGCGATTCTGTAAAATTAAGTTTTAATGACATGTCTCTTTTCTTCAATTATTAATTCATATATTTTCTTACAAGGCTACAAACTCTGTTTTAACTTTACGTTGTAAAATTAAGGGGTATAAATAATAGGCGATAAAGGAATAAGGGAGTCAATGAGTCATAAATTAATAGGTGATAATGTTTGTAGCTTAACAAAAACCACATAAAAAAATTAAGTGCCCCTCCACCGATACGGTACTGATGTACGCATATTTTCTTACGTTTTTCCCAATTATTATGAAAACCAGCTATATAGTATCACCCAGATAAAATTTATTTTCAGAAAACTTACTACACATGGAAATCGGAACAAGATTTCTAGAAAAATTGTTTATAGATAAAAAAAATAATTACCATCATTATAAAACCAATATATTTCTCGTTACGCTCCGAATCTAAAACAAATATATATTAAATAGGAAACTTGACCTTGTTACATAGGATCTTAATAATTGTCTTAGAAAGCTCAATATTTTTTTCAAATTAAAGTTATGGTACGTCAAAACAAAATGTCTACCATTACCAAAACAAAAATCGCTCTAATAAAGCAAAACCATTTTATAATATTATTTATATTATTTATATTATTTAATATTATAGTTAATTAATGTACACATTTGTTTTCAGACACAACTAGAATCCATAATTTCACCGAAAAAAAGATTATAAACGTCAAGTGTTCGATGATAAAATTCAATAAATTGGTTTTGTAAAATTTAAAACACACACGTTTACACTACCTTAAACTTTTAATAAGTGTTTTATTAATTCTAGTCCAACTCAAAGACACTAATATTTTCTGCTCCAACGTGAGATAACCGAACATTTTACCAATAGCCAAAAAGAAATAATTGTAGGCATTCTCGAATTTCTCACGTTGTTTAACATAGTCTAAAATTACTTGAATGAGGTAACGTTATTACTTAAAAATCAAAATTTAAGTTGAAATCAAACAAGTAAATTAAATAATAACGAGAATGAATAATATTAGTATTATGCGCAGTCAGGGCCTGATTATATACCTTTAGGCTGAAAATGCTGCAGCAACCTTGGAACCAACACCCTTAGAGTTTATTTTCTGAAAAAATTGCTTTTATTGCCTTTATTAGCCCTCGTTCTAAGTTGGTAATAATTTATAGCTCTGCATAATTCAAAAGCGAAATTTGCCGCACAATCATAAAAAAAAAATAGTATGCTGCTTGTGTCATTTTTGAAGTTTTGAGGAAATATTATGTTCCCTCCTTTACAGGGTGTCCCACGAAGATGTATATCTTATTACAATATCTTCAGAGATAATAAAGATAGTTAAATTCTGTTTTTTATATATATATTACTAGCAGGGATAAGAACTACACATATTTATACTTGAATTCAATTTTTATGTTTTGATAAAAATACTAAAAAATCATATGTGTATTTAATATTTATAACATTCATAGTAAGTAAATTAGTTAGGTATTTTTTTAAAATTGTGTTATGAGTTAATTTTTGAAAAAAAAAACTTAGAAAATAAATATACTAATTTAGACTCTCTGAGAGAATCTAAAATAACGTTTTTAATGTAGGTACTATATTCACTAAAATCCAGTTTTTAAAAAAAAAAAATTGGTCATTTGTTCTTAGATGATAGTACTATAGAAGAAAATGTAAATCGAGATTAAATTACGAAAGATTATTTGTTCATTGATGTGCTAAACAAAACTTCCTCCCTCATTAAAAACTGAAATGATTTCAACTTCAACTGAATCCCTGGTAATGTCACATTTATGACTGCTTACTGCAGTTGTATGGGTTTATCTGCAGGTAGGACATTTTTATCTTAAACTGATTATAACAAATTATTTCATGTTTGTAGTAATATTATTATTATTTTGCTTTCACTGAACAACAGTATTTTATGACTAAATACAAAAAGAAATTTATTTAAGTAAATCCATTCGTCAATACTTAAAAAATTTATATTCAATCATTAATTTATTATAATTTATACTGACTAAATGTAAGTATATATTTTTCAGATACTGAAAAAAGGCAATACAATAAGTATAGCATAATAATAGCTGTGACATCTCGATTAAATTAGCTACCTTACCTTAATTTGTATTATGGAATAAATATATGTTTTAATTAAATAATTAACAAATGAAATAATTTTAAAATGTAGCCAAGGCTTAGCAAAAACTCTAACTATATTACCGATATCTTTAGGGTCACAATCATGTAGTGCTATATGTATTTGTTGTTACGTACAAAACAGGCAGGAAAAAAAATTATCATATTATTAGTTCTAAGATTAGTTTGAAGCAACTATTCTCCACTATGTTCTATTACTTCCCCCTTCTTTTTGATTTCTTCATATGAATAACTATTCTTGATTTATCTCTAAAAAGATTATTACGTGCTAATACTTCATATATTTTAAAAAATTTTAAATTTAAAAAAAATGCACATACCTAATGTTTTTGGTAATTTAAATAAATACATATCTCTTTTAAATTGCATACACCTACACGGAAGATGTTTTATCTATTATAGGTTAATGATATTAATTTTTTTATACATAATATATCAATTATAGAGGATTTAACCTAAATTAATTTTCTTCTTCAAAATTATTCTTTATTTACTAACACTTTATCCCACCATGTTTTCTATTCATACATTAGCTATTCAAATTTAAACCAAGCAAATAATGTCAAAAAACAATCATGATAGTATTTTGGATTTAATTTTCTCAAATATAAATGTTGACTCTACCAAGTAATCATTTAAGTGAGTACACTCATATCTCAGAAATTATTAACTTTTTCCGGAATTTGTTTCCTAGAACATTTAAGAAACAAGCTGTATTACAAATACAGATAATACAAATAACAATATTTACGTTATTTTTTGTCACCCTTATTTTCGGGGGTAAAACCACTATCTACTTTTGATATTCAAATGGCAACCTATATTTAAAAAGTCCATAGATAGATTGAATATACATTTCAGTGTTGACATTTTTGATTTCCGCAGTGACGTCATTGAAGTTGTTATGAGTCGGCAACGCGATTATATTAAAGACAACACGGTACCAGGAGAACATGAGGTTCGGTGTGCGCTGCAGCGACGGCCGCCGCCGACGACCCGTCGCGGGAATATCGTTCGGCTGTTAACAGCTACGACTCGTCGCAACAACAGCGTCCGAGTCATGCACTCCTGGTATATCGGGGTCTATTTTGTATGTCGCACGAATACGTCATTCGTAAACTTTGTATACGAACATGATTTTGTACAACCATTTGAAACTTAAGGATATTTCATTTATATCTGTAAGCCACGTAAACCATTGCTTGACAAAAAACGATTCTAAACGTGGTTCGGTGATACAAGAAAGTAAATCAAAAAGACAATAAAAGATGTGTCCTATGATTTTTCGATTAAATCATTTTTTCTAGTAGAAAACGTCGTCCGTGTTTTTATAAAACAATGAAATTATGAAATTGTACGTTTTCCTACGTTTTTTCTCACTTAAGCGCTTTTATTTAAAAAATGGAGTTGATAATCAAATGACCTGTTTAAAGTACATTCTAGAGAACTTGAGTTTCCAGAAAAGTTGCTACACGTAAAAATCAGAGAAAGTTTACTAAGAAAAACCGAGTTCACAGACTAGAAATAAAAATAAACAGCATTGTAAAACCAGTATTTATCTCGCTACGCTTGGAATATAAAAATAAAAAAGAATATTATAATGAATCATAGAATTAGTCGTTAATTAATCATTGGTTATAACACTATGATTAATTTAAATAACATATGTAAAATTATCAGAGGTTCCCTCCAAAAAAAATCTAAAGATGTTTGATAGCATAATATATTTCACAATATTTTTTTAAAATAACAATTACAAAATCAAAACTTATGGCAAATCTTTTTACATTGTTTGAATATAAGAAAAGGCAAATATAAGTTTTCTGTTCAAATTTCAAGTATCTACAAATATTTTTAACTGAATTGCAACAAAAAACAAAATTAACAGTAATGAAATAGTTATATTATTATTTTAAATTTTATTTGGTGTAGGTACTCTGTGGATAAAATTGTTAAACATGTTAAACAAAATTTTGACTAAACAGAAATGCTTGAAAATTGGACAGTTAATTATAAGTCGTACTTTGTGGCCAAACATAAAAAAAAATGAGTTTAAAGAAGTAATTTTTTTTTATAAGAATTCTAAAATCAAATTTGATGAAAATTGTTTTTGTAAAAAATTATGTGGAAGTAATCTAGTTACTGGTCCATACCAATTGTTTTAGTAGATTTTTATTTGACTATAATATTACATATATATTGTCAAAAAAGCATTACTATTAACCAAGCTAGGCTCAAAATCGTTTTTCATTAGTAATGATTAATCTTTGCTTACATGTATATTAAATTTCTGT